GGGGGAGGGGGGGTACGTACCATCTCCTTACTGGGAGCCAGCATCTCCTCGATCATCATGTTGTCCCGCGTGAACGAGCTCCGGTTCAGCGTGTAGGACCTATCGGAACTGAAGGAACGCAGGCTTGGTGTGGTTGCCGTAGTAGTCACGGGTTACCAAGACAACATTCAAAATGATGGAGAGGGGGAAGTGAGGGGGAGGAGGGGGGGTGAGGGGGGGGGCGAAAGTGAACAGAAAAAAAACAAAAATAAACACATTAAATGCATGCTTCTTCCAGGAACCTGACTGAAGGCCCCCAGCGACAACCACAAAGAGAGAAGGAGCGCTCCTGAAGAGGAAAGGGTTTCCAAAACAAAAACAAAACTCTGTAGGAAAAAAGGATACTTTGACTTAGATGGTAAATGTGCTGCAAAAACAAAATAAGCACAGTGCCTGGACCCTATTGAACGACACACAGCTCAAAAGCCCCGAAGGCCTGAAGCTCACAAAGCAGACTTCTACGCGACGGACCGTCGTCAGAGCAACAGGACGCGAAGCTGGTTTCAGCCGTCGTGATGGAAAGAATTCCAGGTAATTTGCCGCAGTCGTTTTCAAGGTTTATGTTTCTGTCCTGATGAATAGTGGAGGTGCGGTGAGATGGTTGTTCGTTTCAGAGAGACTTTAATGAGGAAAATAAGGAGCATTCCTGAGCAATGACTTGTGATGAATGTTTGCCTGCAACGACTCAACCACAATTACAACAGCGCCATTTGCCCTAAATGTGTGAACCCATGTGACCCTGTCAGCAAAACACACAACTCCCATTGTGTGATGACGAAGCAGTGGAAGCAGAAAGAGGCCCTGGTTGTTTCAGTGCTGATATCAGTGCTGATATATAAAAGTAATTTGCTATATGATGAAGTTAACTAAGAGGATTATTGAATAAGGGAAATAAACATAAGATGCTTGAAAGTAATAGTGACATTTTTAACTGTCTTTGTCGCAAATCTATTTGTTAGTTTCATTGAATGCAAAACGTAAAAAACAGAAATAAAATGAGCTTGTACCACATAATGTAATTAATTTATGATACTTTGAAAGGGTAAAAATTAAATTACATTTGATTACTTTTAACATTAAAGCAGTTTTAATGTGCGTTTTGTTGTACATTTTTTTAATGTACAAAACTCTCTGAAGGCAACGTGCAGTGAGATTATTCTGCACTGTCCATTGCGTGACACCAGACTGATGAAGGCAAGAAGCTTTTGCCGTCGGGTTAAATATCAGTTCAGGTCCCTGGAAGCTCGATGAAGTAAAACTCCACACAGAAACCGAAATGATGCAAAGCTCCGCCTCAATGTCCCCGACGTTAATGACACGACAGCCACAGTCATCAACGCCAAAGCAGACGCAACAGGCTGTCGTCTCACAAGCAGGCGACACAGCGGGACGGGTTTCAAGTGAGAGCACGACCACACACGGGAACCACGGGACAAAACACGGCGCCACGTGGTCAACAATCACCAGGTTAGCAGTCAAACACACACACAGTCAACATGAGGTATGGATGGGACCACGACGTGGAGACGGGACTCAGGGGAGGGGTGAAATGGGCTCGGTGGGGGAGGTGGGAAGGGGGAGGGGCCTGTCCATGCCTGCAGCCTTACCTGACTTTGGGACTAACAAAGAACGGACAGGAGGAGAGAATAAAAGATCATGAACAAACAGAGGAGAGAGACGAGAGCGGAGAAAACAGGCTGGATGCTGACTGGCTGTCTCACTGACGGACTGATTGTCTTTCCTACTGTTGTCCGACTGTATATAAAGACTCGCTCTGAGCAGCCCTCTCCACATTACACATAGTCCGTCCATGGCATTGAATCCACAGTGTACACTGAAATTGGAACGATTGTGCCGCTTTAAAGCCACTCAGAAGCATTTCAGTAACAGACGTCTGGCCAGAGAGCTTAAAATTATACAGCTGCTGCATGAATTCCGCCTCCATGAGATAATTTACTGTTATCCATGCCTCTGCCCGGCACATAACATAAGACATAATTACATCTGACGGCCATAACATAAAGCGTGCAACGCGTCGTCCATTAGACGTCTCTGTTTTGGAGCATTCAGATAAATCATTGAAATAAAACTTCTGCAACGGGACGAAACAACCTCCCGCTTCAGCTCCCAGTAATGAATGAAAAACAACAACAGCCCACATGACATGACTACAGCTTTCTTCTAACCCACTTGTGGTGAGTTCTGTCGCTTTGACATGATCTGAGCCCGTTCCTGCGGCGCAGCAGCTACATTTATGAAAGCCCTCACACTGCGAGACCCCCCCCCACTCAAACAGTGAGTGTGGATGTAAACCAGGGCTCAAGGCCACGGAATCGAACATGTTCCTAATTTCCTGTGGCTCATTGTCCGCGTGTGTCACTGCTCAGATATTTAATAACCCCTCCCTCTCGAGCTGGTCGCACTAGTGTCGTTACTCCAGTGTGAGCGGAAAAAAAGGTTCAACGCGCCTCGGAAAGCAAACTGATGACCTGTGAGAACAACATCTGTGTGTCGGTGGTCAGAAGAGTGCAAAACCTCTGAATTCATTCGAAAAAGTACTTTATTTTTGTCGGGATTTTACTTGTAATCAACGGGAAACAACTTCTATTAAATTAAACAATACCTTGGTGTACTGTAATTAGCATGAAGACCATAAAGACCACGAAGGAAATGTCTACCACATGTCTGCGATGAAAATGAAAATGGAGAAAATTTCCAAAAGTGTGGAGCAATTTCCTGTTCAGCACTGATGAGCATCATGAGCGCTTTATTTTTCACACCTTCAACGGTGATCGTAGTGTCGTTGTGCGTCTCACCTCTGTGACCGGCCGCCCATGCTGAAGCCCATGTAGCCCTCCTGAGGGAGCGAGTCGTCCCCCAGCTCCCGCAGGTCCTGGGGGGCCAGGTACTTGTCCGTGTCCCCCGTCATCGCATCGTCACCTGCAAGGTGGAAAACAGGCAGGGCCGGTGAGACAGCGTCCCGAATGAATGAAGTCAACGAGGACTCAAAGTTTTATTAAATTTAAAAAGAAAAAATGCCTAATATAATGTATGTGAATATCATCATGTGACCGTGTTTTAACATGAGCTTTCTGCTCCAGTGGCTTCAAGTATCAAATATTTGTTGTTGCCACACAGTTTATCTTCTGTAATAAGAACTGCCATCCCTGCAGCGCTCCCTTTACCGGCTGCATCTGACATCCTGTGGCAGTTTAAAAGCAGGAAAACTCAATAAATGCAAATCGTGTGCTGGATTTTGAGGCGCATGCAGAACAGTGCGGCTCTTTTAGTGCGAAGGATCAATGCAGCTTCCGCCCAGAGGCGCTTTTCCAGCTCAGCCCCGGCTTCCAACTAACGAAACACAAACAAAAGTCTTTGCTGTCACTAAACGATAGCGACGCCGCCAGCGAATGTTTGGTCAGTTTAATGAGCAAATATAGAACAAATCAACAGCTTCATGGGGAATAATAAAATAACTGTCCGATTAATACAAAAAACAAACACACAAACAGCAGACGTCTCTGTCAGCACAGCAGACAAATCACCCGAGCTATGACAGGAAAGTTGAAAGATACGTTACGGGGAGACAGAGAGCCTTGTCATTCCCTCTCAGAGTTACTGTAGATGCTGCAGCCCACTGATGAACCGGCGAGAGCAGGAGAGGAGGAGCTGCAGCAAGTGCATACGGGCGAAGGCACGGCAGAGATAAAGGAAGGCATTCCAGAGACCACAAAGCACCCGAGACCCCCGCCTCACCCTCATGCCCCCCCCCCCCCCCCCCCCAATCCCCTGGTGGTACGGGAACCCCTCCCCCCCCACACTCCCAAAAAAAAATTTTCCCCCCAAACACACACAGGACCCCATCTGGCGACATTCCAGCCCATTCAAAACCAAACCTCCCCCCCAAACAAGCCACAACTCACCTTCTGCTTTAAAGCACCTTCATGCAGCCAGAAGCCCAGTTTGCAGAGGTTGCAACCCTGAACTTACTTTTCCTTCGGCTTCCTTCAACTCTCAGTCTGTCTGTCTGTCTCTGGCGCGCTCTCTCTCTCTCCCTCTTGCACACACACCTTGTCTGTCTCTCTTTCACAGCCCGGCGGCCACACAAACAGATCGGCTTGCTCCCGCCTACCGACCCAGGATTACCCAGTGTGTGTGTGTGTGTGTGTGTGTGTGTGTGTGTGTGTGGGGGGGGGGGGGGGGTTTAGACAGCTAGAGCTCACTGCAGGACAGAAATAGTAAGTGGGTGTGTGACTAATACTAAGTTCTCTAAAATCTAAACTGTACCGACGAAGACAATACATCCTCCATAACTTTGTTTGGGTTCCATGTCGACTTCATAACTCTGAGAAGGTTTTTGCATCTGGGGGTTGAGGCAAGTTGTCGGCCTGCTTGTCTATTGAAACTTCTCTTAATAATAAAAATAATAAAAAGTGTGTGTGCATAGAAAGCTGCTACAACCCTCGTTGTAGATTTGAGATGTTCGCCCTAAAGGCAATAAATGATACTCTAAACTCCATCAATTACCGTAACAAGTGGAAAAGTGAACCCGTGTGGTGAATATGTTATCGCCTTATAAATAGTTGAGTTATTGATGATTTTGATTTTATATCCACGCTGACCACGTATTAATTCCCTTTACAGCTGTGGGAAAAAACCCATGTCTAGCGACTGCAGAGGGATCTGTGGGGCGTCCTGAATTAGATCGAGGACTGTGTGTGATATTGGAGATGTTAATCATTGCTGTAACTCAGCTGGTATGTGAGCCAGTGATGTGTGTGTGCGTGTTTGTGAGCTTACAGTTACACACCGTATATTTTTAGATCAAAAATTAAAGATGGTGACCCAAGAAGCCAAAAAACAACAACAACAAAGACCTTGCTTCAGTGTGAGAGCAAACATGCACATACACACACGTGACATAATTCGTTTAGTTGCACCACCTCAGACTGGTTACTGGAGTTAGTTAAGGCAACGCAGTCGGGCTGTAGCTGTTTTTTCTGGACTTACAGGAATAGCTCATGCAGATTTTTCCAACATCCATCTCTGTTCAAATGAAGCACAAGTACACCTTCAACTATTTTCCATCCAAATCTTTGGAATATCTACAATATTCCTGCATCATGTAAGTGAAGGTTTTTCTTTTTTCTAATATAATGCTATATAAAGTTCAATAAAAACATTAAAACACAAAATATTCAGAGACAAAAGCCAGAATCATTGGGACACACCCTAAACTCCATGACACCCTGCACAGACATTTCTACATAGAGACCTGCTTATTGTTACACAAAATGGCATTTCTATATATTAGCGCTGTATTTGGCCAAGTCCTACACAAGCCCACACAATGTCTGTCCATCAACGATCCCAGCCCGAACCATTGCAGCAACTACGGGCGGCCAAACCCAGATTATAAATCCTAATTTTGATTTAAAATACCAAAATATGTAATGTGTGTGACAGTAAATCAGTTAAGGAAACAAGCCAATGATTGAAAAAGCTCTACATCAATTTCTAGTAGTTCTTTTCCCTCCACCGATCTCATTGGAGACAGACAGTGAAAAGTTCAAGTTCAGCCGCTTTTCGGTCACAGACCAAGAGAAACGAGATACACAAAGTAAACACACGCACACACAGAAAGACACACAAGCATCTGACACCGTGTTTGCTTTTGGCCCGAATGAGTGAAACGACAATGGCCAAGCCCTCCGGAGACAAACCATTCGAGTGTGTGTGCGCGCCGTCTACCGCACGGCATGAAAAGAAATCCGTCACACCCTTCACAACGCCGCATGCAGACAGTTGCCATGGCAACCTGGGAGTAAAAAGCATATTCCCCCCGTTTCAATGCATGGAAGTACCGGCGTCTTTACAGAAAGCACGGCGTGAGAAAGGGAAGGCGGGAAGCGGCAGCGCAGGGTAGAGAAGCGCGAATCACACGTACACCTGTGACTCCAACAGATGGATTATGGTGTTTTCACTACTTTATATTCAATCAAGCACATACAGAGGGATTGGAATTGCAAAAAAAAAGAGGTAAAAGATGATTGACATACAGAAAGAGGTGAGAGAGAAGGAGTGGAGATTTAAAGGAGAAAATAAAATGAAGTAAAATGAAAAATACCTTCTTCCACATCAGATATATAGTCCTCTGTGATCATTTCAGGGACATTGGCTTTATAGACTGTGTGATTGGGATGGAGGAGAAGGTTAGAGTAAAAAATAAACCAAAATAAATGGAAAAATGTCAAATAAAGAAATATCATGAAATAAGTTAAAGATGGTAAAGATATTCTTTTGGCTTTGAATAATTACTCAACAACAAAATAACTGTTTCCATAGCAACACTGGAGGGAGGGTTTGGCAACCAATGTACGAGCACTGGGACCTACTTCTGCCAAATATGACTCAACCAGGGGTTTTAAAGGCTGTTTTGGGGGGACCGTTGAAATTGATTTAAAGCAACACAGATTAAAATATCAACAAGCTGAACGGTGAACCCTCACCTTCGTCGTCGGACATGTCCAGCACCTCGTTCATGGTCTCCGGAACGTTCATCTTGTGCTTCTCTATGACGGTCTGTCCAACAGAGATAAAAAAAAAACAAGAAGCCTTAAAAAGTTATTCTGTTGCATTAACAAAAGGTCCACGCAACCCACCAAGTTAAAACCATTAGGCCTTTAATTACTACATGTGACAAAAGGAAAATATTTGGGAAAACGATACATATCGACAAACTCACTCTCACCTTAGTGATCAGAGTTTCCTCTGTGACCACTTTGAGTGTGTCGACTACAGAGATGTAGCCGAGCCTCCTGGCGATGGACAGAGCGCTGTTCCCACTCTGGACGAAAGAATGAAATTCAGAATGAAAGTTATGTAATAAAGTCCTAGTGTGAGCGTGTGAGTGAGTGTGTGTGTGTGTGTGTGTACTAACAGCCGTGAGTTCGTTGGGCGACGCTCCATGATGTAGCAGCAAGTTGATGATGTGTGTGTGTCCCTGCTGTGCAGCCTGATGGAGAGGAGTGTATCCGTTCTGCCAAGGAGGGAAAAAGGGAGATGGCTTAGATCAGTTCATCTCCCACTGACTCCATAATTTATTTATATATATATATATATATATATATATATGCAGTAAATATACACTAAAGGGTTACCTTAGTCTTAGCATTGACCTTCGCTTGATTCTTCAGCAGGAAATTCACCATCTTCACGTTGCCATAGTGACAGGCCACATGGAGTGGAGTGTATCCCAGCTAGTGAGACATCAATTGAAAATATTTCATCAGCAAAGTGATGTTTATCATATCAATGCATCAGATATTACCTACGAATTGTAGTTTAATGAATAAGTCCCTTTGATCTCTTGAGAACCTGAGATCTTGTTGGATGTCTGACTAATTCGCATTGTCTTAAACTAAAATACCAGATTAAGAAACAGTTTTTCCAAAGATCCAGAGTTCTAGTCTTAAGCTATTAGTAGCAGAAAAAATACCTTCTGGGTTTTTCCTTATACGGCTCATCCATCCACCTACCTACCTGCCTATCCAGCTATCATATTTACCTCCCCACCTATCCACCCATTTATCTACCTACATATCCATCCATTTATCTACCTACATATCCATCTATCCATCTTACAATCCATCTACCTTTCTATCCACCCATTTATTCATCATCCATCTATCTTTCCACCCATTTGAAAAGCACAATGAGGATGAGAAAATACTTGAATCATTACCTTGGTCTCGGGGTCTAAGGTAGCTCCCTGGTTGACTAAGACCTCAGCAACGTTGACTTTATCCTCCTGGGCGGCCAGGTGGAGCGGAGTCAGACCGGACTGAGGACAGACGGTTACATTTAAAGACAGAGTCGAAACTAAAGACGGAGAAGATGTGCAAATATAGATAAATATACACAAGGAAGGATAGAAAGGTGAAATAAATCCACAGAACTGTGCGTTATAACTATAAGAGAATAGAAGTCGACATACCCACAACAGAAAATGCACAGCTTTTTGGTAAATGACCAGAATCATGTATAAAAAGGCCAGTAAACCACAAGTCTGTACCACACATACATACATATATACACACAGACACACATACATATCTTGTTCATGCAAATCTGGTACCTTGTTGCCCATATTTATTGGAGCGTCTCGGGCCAGCAGCAGGGTGACGATGTCCACGTTGCCCTCCTGTGCCGCGAGGTGCAGAGGGGTGATGCCCTGGCGAGTCACGGTGTTGGTGGAGGCCCCGTACTCCAGCAAGGTGGTGGTAATCTCCATCTGATTCTTCTTGGCTGCAATGTGGAGGGGTGTGTAACCGTTCTGGGCACAGGGACACAGACACGTTATTTGATTTTTCTAATTAAAAAAAATATAGAATTTAATTCAGACAAAATAAAGAATACGTAGAATCTACATCTCAATTTTGTTTGAATTAATTTAAATAAACACCGTGAAAGGCAACAAAATAGGAGGGCACAAAGGGCTGTAGCTTTATATTTAGCATACAGACATGAAAGTGAAGAAAAACATTTGATTAAAATTTTAAAATGATTACTTTCAATAATGTATTCAAAGAATAAATAAACAGTGCAAATAAACAGTTATTGGGTCCTTGCTTATTTCCGTGGCAGCTCTTTGTAGATAGAGTGTAAACAGGGAATCCAACCAGCCGATCACAACGCTGCGCTCAGCTATAGTACACAGCGTAATAGCGTGTGGGTGGCTGAAACTAGGTCAGCCTGGTTTCACCCGCCGCCAGAGAGCGAGAGAGAGAGAGAGAGAGAGAGAGAGGGAGGTTTTAGTGCATTGAGGAACATTCGGCTCGACTGGCTCTTACCTTTGCGGCTGCATGCGGTGAAGCTCCCTGGTTGAGCAGGAGCAGCGCTACCTTCTGGTTATCATAGTGTGCTGCCACATGCAGTGGAGTTAGTCCACTCTAGACACACACACACACATAAGGATTGTTAGGTGGGTAACATACAGTGGAACAGTGTAGTGCTTTTGATAAGAGAAGCGGGAGTGTATGCTATAAAACAGTTCTCTCATCTCATCACTCCTCACCTTCCCGGCAGCGTCGGACGGAGCGCTTTTCTGCAGCAGCAGGTTGGCGACCTCAATCTTCCCGTATTTTGCAGCCACATGCAAAGGAGTGAAGCCCTTCTGCAGAGACACACAGTCATGTTAAATCACATGCATTACTAAATCTAATTACTATGGTTGCTAAAAACCATTACTAATTACTATGGTTGCTAAAAACGCTTCAGTCAATAGTTACTCACATCTCTCTTGGGATTCTGTACATGTCTGCTATTTCCAACCATGTGTGTTTAATCACTTACAATGCAGGGCTATGTCATGACACAACACGGGGAACTGATTATTTGGTGCCTAAAAATGATGAAATAAAATACGTGAACAGGGTGTGGAACTGCGTGTCGCGAGTTCCTCCAGCTATGAGGCAACACACATCCTTGAACCAGCTCTCCCCAGTGTATGTTTATGTATAAAGTGACTAACAGCTACGAGACTTCATCTAGACTGTTTTTCCAGTTTAAGGACCCTGTGACCCTGTTTGCGGTGGATGGAAGTATGATGATGATCTAAATCATTCCTTTCCAATAGTTAGATACACATTAGGAAGAAATTAGATTAACTGAAAGTTGATTGTATTCAATTCTATGTTTGAACTACAGCCCAAATGTGTACTTCATCCTTCATTTGAAGTGAAAGTAAGTCATCTATGACCTTCACTTTGTTTCAATGTTTGTTTTGCCAAAATCTAGTTTCTAAGTATCATCTGGAAACCTCTCCAGTTTGACTCCATTTGGTGGCTATGAAATGACTAACGCACAAACAGAGCCTCTCCAGGACCAGTTCACTGACTCCGGAGACGTCTTTCCGACCCGACTGGCAAGACAGCCGCCTGTAACAGACTCTCCTCGATCTAAGCTCCTCTTTTCACGTCTCCGTGACAAAGCGACAAACCTTGGAGATGATGCCCAGACTCGCCCCCTGATCCAGCAGCGTCGAAGCCACGTCTCGGTGGCCCTCCCGGGCCGCCAGGTGCAGAGGCGTGTACCCGGAGTTGGTGGTGGCGTCCGCGAACGCTCCGCTGGAGAGCAGCTGCTGGACAATGTCCTGCTTGCCGAGGCGGCTCGAGATGTGCAGCGGAGTCTGGTCGTCCTGGCGACAGAGAAACAATCAGGCTTTCTTTTCGACGTGGGGACGTGGAGGGGTTACTTCTGGGAGGTGGGGGTAACCTTGGCCTTGGCGTCGACTTGCGATCCGTTCTGGATCAGATAGCGCACCACGTTCGATTGTCCGGCCCTCGCCGCCATGTGGAGCGCCGTCTCCCCCCTCTGCAACACACATGCGCAAGCACGCACACACAAGAAAGCGGGATTGAAAGAATACACAGAAGACTTGATTCCTCATGAAAACTCTTTCTGTTGAGATGGGACGCAGAAAGAAAAAAAGAGCGAGAGGGAGGGAGGGAGGGAGGGAGACCCCCTTTGCCCTCCACACCCAACTCACCATAATGACGTCCCATAATGCTCCGTTTCTACGGTAACCTGGCCACAGACACGGCGTGGGCGACCACATGCTCGGGGTTGAAGAGTCAACCGTGCAGCGCTCTTTCACCCTTCTCTGTTTACTCGTCACTCACTTCTCCCTTAAGTCTTTATGTCATCTACGCCTGTCTTTCTCTTTTATTCCTCCTCCTTCACGCTGAGGGTAAATGGTGTCAGTGGTGGGAGTTTGTAGCGTTCGTGGACTGGATGAGAGTGAGACACGACATTAATAGAAGTTCACTTCTCCAGTCTGGACTATTGAGATGGTTAAACTACATAATTCTCTCTCTCTCCTTTCTCAGTGGTTGATTTATCATCTCCTTGTACGTCCTAAAAGATAATTTCAGTCATTTTAATATATGTTTGTGGCCCCCTGAGGAATTTAAGAACAATATTGTCTTTCTTTTTGCTCCATTGTTGGTCTCCACCCTCTCCTAGACATTAATCTGAAAAGCATCTAGTTAAAAAGTAGAACTTTGTACCAAGTTTAAACTTGAGTAAAATGAAAGTACAGGACTTGAGTTCATGTGTTTATCTTCTCTCACCCACGCGGAAGAGATGTTAAAGTCCCCTGTGAGGAAAGAGAAGGAAGCGGGACGAAACTCACCACGTTGCTGGTGTTGGGTGAGGCGCCGTGGTTGATCAGCTGGTGCACGATGTTGTCGTGTCCCATGAACGCAGCAACGTGGATCGGAGTCAGGCCGGACTGTTTAGTGAGGAGACACGCGGAGGAGGTTAGTGGACATAAACAACATTTAATCGACCAACTGCGTGCTTTGTCGCTACGTCATTAAACCTTTGGAGGACTAAACTTTCACAAATTCAGGGAGCAATTAGGGGGTTGAGTGGAACAGGACACAATAACATGGACTTCGGAGGAGTCGGGGATCAAACCATCGATAATCTGTAATCTGAAGAGATCCCACAAAAATAACTATGAAACATAAAATTCCATGATAACGGCGATAATTCATGTTATTGATAATACCGGTACTAATTCGATTTTATTTCATCATTAACATGCCGGAAGCTGATTTTATGGTATGATGTTAATTTGTTTATGGCTGCACTAACTGTTAATATGAACTTGTTGCGTTGGTAAAGTTTCCACTTCTATCAATATCACTCAATGAATTTAGAAGGATAAGGGGTCGCTGCTTTAAACCTACGAAAGAAACACTATATTCTAGAAAACTCTAATCGCGAAACCAGGTGACCGATTTATAGAGCTAAACTTTGTCTCACAAGAGTTGCAGATTATGTTTCAGTTCATTAAGAAAGACTTTAAGCACAATACAAATAAATACTTGGTAGAATAGGACATTTTGTGTAGCGAGCGCAGTATTTATAATATTTATATAATAACTCCTTCTGAAATGTCTTAAAGTAGTTGCATAAGATGTAAGAACACAATAGATGTGCAAGTATGTCAAACCTGTGCATGAGAGCGTTTTTTAAGTTCACTTTCCACCGCCGAAAGGACTAATTTAACTTTGGTGAAATATTACACAGCTTTAACTTTTATTGCTGGGAAAGCTGATGACACAAATAATTGATGACACCATGGCTCCATGACACACACACACACACACACACACACACACACACACACACACACACACACACACACACACACACACACACACACACACACACACACACACACACACACACACAGACTCCTACCTCAGTGACTGCCTGTATCGACGCTCCATGCTTCAGAAGAGTTCCATCACCTTGACTCTGTTTTTCTTACAGGCAATGTGCAGGGGAGTGAACCATTCTAAAAAAACAAAAACAGATTACACAAAACATGACATTTTCAAGCAAAAATGGTTCCTCACCAATAGGGCGGGTGTTTCTTCGCAGGTCTGTGCTGAGCTGGCAGAAGATAAGTCTGGAACGGCGAATGGAAAGTACAGTACAAACCCTTCTGCGCTTTCCTACCCCTCTTTCTTTTACTTTTTCTCTGCATGCACACCAGACAAGCATGTGTGGAAATAATTGAGTCGACTGTTAAAGTTAAAGTATGCTGCACTGAAATAGATACTTTTTTTTCTTTTACAACACATAGACTCTCCCTCCCTCCCTCCCTCTCTCCCTCTCTCTCCTCCCTCTCACTCTGACTTTGAGGTTTCAGGCTCAATCCTATGACTTCATTTTCCTCCTCTTTTTTTTTCTTCCCCCCTTTTCATTCTCTCTGGCTACAAAGTCCCAGCGCTCTAACCACACCCAGACGTCTCCCATTACAGAGCAGAGATGGTTGTCTAACACCAAGACAGTGTGGCCGCAGTTACAAAACCTTGTTTTCACTCATTTCCTGCATGTGTCTCTTTCTCCTTTGTTGAAGTCCCTAATTGGTCTTTTTATTTTTTATTTTAAACGTTGGGAGGAGAGGAAGTAAAGAAGGAGAGGGGTAAATTAACCACTTTTTTGGTAGACAACACTGCTATTTAATTCTACAACTTAGGAGAAAACATCAATACTTTTCATTAGCTTTTAGTCCGCTGCACAATAAATTAAACACGTTTCTCTCTTGTGCCAGACTACTGTATGAAAATAGAACTTTTTAGTTCAGTGCGACAAGATGTACAAATAAATAAATAAACAACAAAAGTTTCAGTTCATTCAAGTGCTTCAATGTATTCAGAAATGGTTTGACATACAGCGGTCTGAGGGAAGACGGTCAAATCATCCCCATTTTCCCCCCCAAACTCGGCATCCCTTTACTCCTCACCAGTGCCTTGGCGTTGGGGTTGGCCTTCTTGTCCACGATGACCTTGGCCACCTTGTAGTGGCCGCAGTGGGCGGCCACGTGCAGCGCCGTCAGGTAGTCGTTGGTCACGTCGTCCACGGGCACCTCGTGGTGCAGCAGCAGCTGGACGCAGTTGAGGTGGTCGCCCTGCGTCGCCATGTGGAGCGGAGACAAGCCGTTCTGCAGAGGGGGGGGAATGAGGGTCACGGGTTGAAAAGAAAACGAGAGGGAGGGTCGCCGGGAGATCGGAGAAGGTGGAATAAAGACCGGGAGGTCACCTTGGTCTTGGAGAGGATCGGAGCTCCCCGGTCCAGCAGCATCTCCAGCACCTGCTCGTGGCCGCTGCGGGCTCCGCAGTGGAGAGGGGTCAGACCGTCCTGCAGGGGGGGGGGGCGTGGTGAGCTCGCTGCCATAACCCACAGGGTGCCAAAGAAGGACCTCGCCCCAAAATAACCCCTCTTCATATCGGTGGTACTCAACCGAGTGAGCCTGTCCCCGGGACCGAAAAAAAACCCCTCTTCTGCGGGTGTGATATTTATAAGTGGAGTTCCCTTTTTTGGGGACTAGGGACACCCACTGGATACTGGAACTTGAAATACTGCAGGATTTGGCGAAAGTTGCGTCCCTCTCCTAAATTTTTAAGACTTTCTAGTTCTTCAATTCCT